TCTGGCATAGTATCTTTTCGAGGATGGGAACCATCATTTTTATTATGTCAGCACCTAATAAAGTGACAGTCAGACCCAGGCACCTAATAAATATTTCTCAGTGATAATGATGAGGAAATGAGGCTTCATGGTTAATTGCTGTCATTGCTTGATGAGATGCATTTCCTGAACTGCTTTGGGAATCCTAGAAGACTTTCACTTGCCTACATGTTTAAGTAAATCTGGGGCCAGTGATGGGAAAGCACTGGTTTAATGTCCTAAATTAATGTGATAGGTTGGTTTAAGGGTCCTCATGCTTACCCTTCAGTGCTAAATTAAATCAAGACCTCTCAGTCCCACTGCTCCTGCATCGTAAGCCACAAATCTTATAGACCCACTGAGCACGGCAGTGAGTTCCCCCTTGGAAGTGGATGGCAGTATGTTTTTAAAGATAAAATTCAAACAATTTTTCTCTTTTTAGTTCACAAATGACCTCATTTAATTAAGGCAGCAAACATGTAAGGGGAGAAAGAAAATGAGTGCTGGAGATAGGGAACAGAATATTAATTGGTGGTTGTAGCCAGCCGGGGGTGGGACTCACGCCACGTCTAGAACTGAAACTGTGATTAAGAACGCCACACCTCTTAGCCGCTTCTGTTCACTTGATTTCCGTGGGGAGCTTGGTTATTTTTCCTTTCAGTACGTGCTGCACACTTCCCTTTGTTCGCACAAAGCAGTACAAGTGTTCCAGTGAAACCAGCTCCCAGAGGGTGGGAGTTCCAAAGGATCAAGAACTGCCCTCCGACACCGAAAATGTGTATTCTTAAAAACAACATGCACAGCTCTTGGGTTTGCATTTGTCTTTGGGGGCTTCTCTTTCAGAGACTGCCTTCTAGGAGTTTCTGGGAAAATGAAATTTCTGAGTAATATCTTGGCTCCTCTGGCAAAGCCATTAAGGCAGCAAGGAGGAGGGAGGAGTGGGGGTCCAAGATGAATGCAGCCCTCCTAGCTAGATGTACATTTATGGGTTAACTTTGAGTCTTTTGGGTTTTTCCACAGCTGGCAGAGGCCTAAACTTTAAGACCTATTTTCCACTTTGCTGTGCTTCCTTGTGTCTCCTTCCCTTAGCACAGAAGCCTGAGGTGATTTTGAGTCTTCACTGCCATTTGCTCCTATGTCAAGAAAGCTCAGGGTTACCTTTGTCACCCCTACATCTCCTTCATTAGGTTACCCTCCACAGCCAGGGCTTTTGGCAGAGCTGGCTGGAGACGCATAGGAGTGCCCTCCACCTCAAAGCCCAGAGTACTGGCTGCCCCAGCTCCAGTCTCTCCCCACGTGAACCTGAGATGCACCTTACAGGAGTCCCGACAGAAAGCTGAAGAAAGAGGGGCCGTTGCCCCTCCTCCTTTCGCTGTTAGAAGTGGCTATTGAAACTGCTGACCTTGCTATCAGAGAGCAGAATTAGAAGAGGGGAAAGAGCAGCAGAGAGTGAGTGGGCTATTCGAGTACTGAGAGAAACCGACACACTTGTCAGAAGGTTTAGATGAAGGAAGAAAGGGAAGATAGAACTAGACCTGGGCTGGGGCCCACCACTCTGTGAATGACCTCACAGGTTAACTGCAGGATTAGTTTCATCACATGTAAAATTGGAAGAATGGTCCCTGCCTCATGGGTTGTTAAGAGAATTCAGTGAGATTATGTTTTTGTTGTTGTTATAAAATGAAACAGTTTTTTGGGATTGGTAATTATTGTCTTGAATTCTTTTCTTAGTCCTCATTTCTGGTTCTCTTGACCAGCCCTGAGCAGCTAATGAATTCCTCTGGTCTTCTCGTCCCCCTCCAGGCTTGTCTCCTAGTATCAGTGCTGAAGGCTGCCCCTTAATTAAGCTCCATGGTGAGCCCCAGGTTTCAGACCAAAGCTTTCTGTGCCTGCAGTCACTTTGAACCCCTCTTCTGAGCCTTCCTTACACCTGTTTGTGCTCAGTCCTGTGGTCAAGCTGACCTTTCCACATTGCTTGCACTTGGCCCAACATCTAAGAGTACGTGTATTGAAGCCTCCTTGCCTCCCTATCTAATAAGGTCATTCTTCTCTACTTTTTGAAGAAGTTAAGAAACCAACCCAGAGTGGAAAGACCTCTGACTTGAGGATGAGACAGAGTTAGGTTGTAATTCTAACTGCCATTTGCTAGCCTTTCCTGCCCTGTCTGAGCCTGTCCTTATCTGTAAAATGGTCTATTACTAGTACTGCAAAGAATCACTAGGAATGTTAAATTAGATAACATGTTTAAAATATCTAGAACAGTACCTGCCACATAAGTAGGCACTCAGTAAATATTAATCTCTTCCTTGCTATTATGTGAAAATTTCCTTACAGTGGAACTACACAGGAAGTCATAAACACTACAGCCAGTTCACCTGTCACTTATCCCTATTTGTGGTACATCATTCTGTTGTACATGAAGAGGGTATATTCCCCTTTCATCAAGAAATTCTGTGCTTTGTGAGTTGTTTTTCCAGAAGTTGGATTTGTGCCCTACCCCTTGGGATGGTCAACGGTAGGTTACTGAGGCGGCAGGCCAGCCGGGGTTTTGACAGATAGTCTGTGGCTATGGTACAGAAACTAGCAGGCCTGTGTGGGAATCAGTCCCACGATTCAACCAATCACTGCACTGGATGGCAGAAGTGCCTTAATTCACCGGTGTGGGCACCGCTTGCTTCTGAGCACTGTCACTCTCACTTGATGCTTACAGGACTTCCGGGAGGAGGGCAGATTCTCACTCTCCAGAAGAAGAGAATAATCCCCAGAAAGCAGTCATAGCCCATGTCACCCCAGTGGTCATTGGTAGGACCCAGGAAAAGACCACGAGTGTCTTGATTGTCCGGGACTTCTGTGAAGTTTTGAACCCAGAGGAGAGCTGTAATTCTGGCTGTTCAGATGAAAGTTTAGAGCTCTTCCACGGAATCCTCTAGTTTTCCTGTCATTCGTGGTCACTTTGTATCTATTTCTTATAGAATAGTCATTAATTCATTGGATGAATTATGTGCTGGGGGCTCTAGGCACTGAGGATACTGTCGGAAATGAAAGAAGACATAGATAAAACCCCTGCATGCCCTGATGGAGCTTATCCTAATGGTGGGAGGCTGACAGTAAACAGATTAGAAAGATGTGTAGTGTTACTGTAAAGGATGTCAGACGGTGATGAGCGCTACAGAGAAAAATAAGGCAGAAAGGAAGCTGGGGTGGGGTGGGGTGTGGCGGACGCTGTGAGTTTCTCTGATTCTTTGTACTTTCGTCTCATCCATGTGGTAAGCTCTCCGACTGCAAGGCTGCGTGTTCATTCCCTGCTGGTCCCTCATACCCAGTACAGATTCCTGCATGTCAGGGCTTTGGGAGACAGGTTGTGGGATTGAGCCAGCTTACCCAGTAGGAGCAGGTGCAGGGGCTGTCTGCTTACCCAGTGAGATGCCAAGACCTCCCCGGATTAGAGCTGGGATAGCCTGGATAGTGCCCTGAATGCTCTGATGGGTTGGGGAGGGAGCCTGTGGCTTTTCTTAGCGATTATTTGTTAAATCTAGAGCTCCCCCTTCTGTTCGAAGATGGGATGGGCTGTCAACTGATTTTTTAAAACAATAGTTTCTTTTTTATCCTAAGTTAAAAAAAAATTTTTTTTAAAGAAAGTACTGCTGGGATATGTGGGTCTTTTTCTTCTGAGACTGCTGTTGCTGAGGCCTAGCCCCTGGGGGTGGCATGGGGGGAGGAAGCACACAGGCCCAGGCAGGATAGGGTCATATCTATGCTCTTGCTACTTTTAGCGTCTCCTAGCCCTGCACTCCCACCACAGCCAGCAGCCTAGCAGAGTTATCTCCACACACAGTTTCACAGCTGTTCTGAAATTCTAGGGCAGCAGAAGTGAAACTGACCACTGTCTTGTACATTTCTCTCTTATTACTGTTGTTCCCTACTTGAAGTGAGTCAGGCCTTTTCCCCTTTTATCCTCAGGGTGTCCCAACTCATTATTTGTCCCTATAGCCGAGTTTTTGACACAAAACTCTCTTTGTGGTGCCGCATTTGTAGAGGGTCCTGGTTTGGTTTCCCCACCCTCAGTGTTGTTTGCTGAGTCAGGAGCTGTGGTCCTATGGTGGTAGCCCCAGAACAGAGCTGAGTCCTTGACAGGCTGCAGTGAGCCCTGCAGTAAGCTGCGCTGCTGGTTGTGTAACTGGGGTCAACCTCACAATCGCTGTAGAGTCTTTTAGTCCTCAGAGATGAAATTCAAGTTAATTTTAGCAGCACTATTAATATCAGCTGAAGTGAAGAAGGAAATGGCACCCAAGTAGACATGTCCTTTTGGTTTAGCTGCCCCAGTTTGGTCACTTTGAGATTTCCTGATGAGGTTGACGAAGTAAGGTAGACCCATCGTGCAGCTCTGCCCCCCATGTCCCTGTCTCCCTAACAGTAAGGTGAGGCCCAGCAGGCATTCTTGGAGCGTTGACTGATCGATAAGGATTGTGCAGCTAACAGTCTTGTAACGGGTCCAAGATATTTTTCAGAGTTATATTCCATGGGTGCACTTTATAGGGCCCATGCTCAGGCAGGAACTCTTCCCGTTAGGAGTAAAGTACCCAAAATTGTCTTACTGGGGCAGCTGAACCATAAAGATACATGCTTATTCAGGTGCCATTTTCCTCTTCACTTCAGCTTATATTAGTAATACTGCTAGAATTAACTTGAAGCTGGGCCGGCCCCGTGGCTTAGCGGTTAAGTGCGCGCGCTCCGCTGCTGGCGGCCCGGGTTCGGATCCCGGGCGCGCACTGACGCACCGCTTCTCCGGCCATGCTGAGGCCACGTCCCACATACAGCAACTAGAAGGATGTGCAGCTATGACATACAACTATCTACTGGGGCTTTAGGGGGAAAAAAAAAAGAATTAACTTGAAGTTAAGATGCCTTCTCCTTTGTAAATTGTAGCAGTAGACGTGATGCTTCACTATAAAGTAATTCTTTTATGATTCTTCTCCCAACAGCTTTGAAAAGTCCAGCTGCATTTCATGAGCAGAGAAGGAGCTTGGAGCGGGCCAGGGTAAGGCACCTTTCTTCCCTGAGGACCTCAAAAGAGCATTTCAGAGCCCATTACATGGCAGGTTATGTTCTTTCCAGTCTAGCATGCCTCCATGGTCAGCCCTTGCCTTAGAGTTCTAAAGAGAAAGCTCTGCCTTTTCTACCTCATCCCCACCCCCAGCCATCTCCCAGTGTGATGATATGAAACATGATCAGAATGAGTTTTCTCCTTTACTGTATTTAAGGGTATGCAATGGTCACCGATCATCCTCCTGTTCCTTTGGAGACTGCTAGTATTATCCCATCTTTAATTCTGCTTATCCTTTTGTAGACGTTAGGACACAAACACTAGCCATGGAAAAGCTTGCTGAATGGTGGTCTCTCCATGTCCGTGGCTGCACTGCCCACACCTCTCCAGGATGGGCCTGTCAAGGGGCAGGGGAGATGGCTGGTGTCCATGTGCTCTGAGCAGCCAGTGCTGACTTGAGCCTGTGGAAGCAGAAAGGGTCCCCTCTCTGAGCCCAGGTTCATGCTGCAGCACCTGGCTTGCTGCCCTGTCTCCCTTCAGTTTCAGTTCCCTCAGGGGCCTCAGGGGGATGTTCTGCTGCCCAGTGTGGGCGGAGATGGGGAAGTCACCAGAATATGCTTCCCCCACACACTCCCTTCACTTTTTTCTTTTACATACAAGACAAGGGAAGAGAACCTCCCCAAATGGAGAATCATAGGCCGTGGCTCCTTAAGACCCACAGCTCTTTCAGAGGCTCTGAAATACTTATCTCTAAGACTTTTCTTACTATCTTCTCTTTTTATTTTATTTTTTAATTCTCTAAGGAAAATCATGATTAATTCTTAGAGTGAATGGGAAGAATGAGGTCATGGGTACTGGGAACCAAAGCAGTAACAAACTGCCCTGTTTTAGTTGCTGGGAGTGTTAGAGAATACAGCAGGGAGAGAAGGGATGGAATTGCCTGTGCCCCCCAGCCAGTCGTAAGACTGGGTGCCATTTCCTGGACTGCTTCTCAAGGAGGCAAGGAGTAAATATGAACAAATTACTGGGCACTGTTATGTGAAATTATATCACTTTCTTGTTTAGGCTCACATCAGCTCTTACAAATTAGGTGTTATTATCTTCATTTTATAGATGCAGCTAAGAGAGGTTAACTAACTTGTCCAGCTAGTAAGTGGCAAAGCTGGGACTCAGACCTTGGTCTGTGGACCCTAGGTATTTTCTTAGTCAATACTGTATTCTGCCTTGGCCTTGGCCACTGTTCAGAACTTCAGATGGCTGAGAAAATATGCCTCCCCCAATGTCTGTGAAGACCTGCAGTGTCCGACACCTGTTCTGGCATCTTCTACAGCAGCTGTGGCAGTACTTCTGTCCACTGCAGATGGGGTGGTAGACCCAGAACCCACAGCTTTAAACCATCTCCTAGAGAGCTCAGCATTCCCCCCGGACCGGCACAGAGCTGCCCAGTCAGAGCATTGAGGCAGCAGACGAGGACCAAGTCTTTACTTTTATTACATGCCGTGTGGTCTAATATTTTATTTTCTATTCTCCTCTACTCTGCCTTGTCCTGTCCTGTCTTGTCCTGTGCTGTGCTGGTTTTGAGCCACTAATGGTCTTAACCTACGGTTTGAGAAATTCTGGTGCAGAGGTTGAGAGCAAAGGCGCTGGAGTCAGACAGATCTGGGGTCATATATACATCGTAACGTGAGCGCTGGGCAGTGCGCTGGCTCTGGGACTGTGAAGAGATTGGTTTAGTTCTCATGGAGTCTCAGGAATGCAGAAATGAAGACATTGGACTTTAAGGAACTAGAGCTGTGACACCATGTATCAAAATTAGCGTTCCACTTGGCAGCCATTCAGAATGAATGGAAAATGCCCCTGAGATCATGCAATGCTAATTTTTTGAAACAAGATATAAAATTATATTCAGTATGATTGCAACTCTGCAAAATTAAACTTATCTTCTGCATGGAAGAATGATTAGAAACACATATCTCCAAATACTAACAGTGGATGATTAAAATTTTTTGTTGTTTTACTTTCTAATTTTGTTTGATGGACATATATTACTTTTATGATAATAAAAGTAATAGGTTTGGACCGGCCCCGTGGCTTGGTGGTTAAGTGAGCGCGCTCCACTGCTGGCGACCCGGGGTTCGGATCCCGGGCTCGCACCGACGCGCTGCTTCTCCGGCCATGCTGAGGCCGCGTCCCACATGCAGCAACTAGAAGGATGTGCAGCTATGACACACAACTATCTACTGGGGCTTTGGGGGGAAAAAATAAAAAAAAAAAAATTTTAAAAAAAAAAAAAAAAAAAGTAATAGGTTTAAAAAATATATGTTAGTAGTCCAACTTCTGACAAAGGGTCTTGACAAATGGATGGTGCCCTGGGCAGGTGCGTAGAAATGGATGCGTCCTCCCCAGGCCTGCCTCCCCTGGCCTCAGAACCCTGCAGTCACCAAGCTGAGGTTGAGGGGCTGCAGAGGTGACCACCAGCAGCCACTACAGCCACAGCTGCTTTTTGGTCCTGTCAGTGCTGTAAGCTTGTGACCTGGATTTGAGAGCTGCTTGGTGTGTTTTTTCTGTAGACAGAGGACTATCTGAAACGGAAGATTCGTTCCCGGCCAGAGAGATCGGAACTGGTCAGGATGCACATTTTGGAAGGTGGGTTAGATTGGAAATGCTTCATCTAAACCCATTCTCACTGTGTTCTCACTGCTGCACCACTCACATTTCTTCTTCCCTCTTTCTTACCACCCCCATTTCTGTTGGCACTGGGTAAGCCAGAGCCTTAACACAATAAAATCGCTGTACTGTGATAGCCACCCCTGGTTTTTGGGAATTCCCAAAGAAGCACGGTCACTTTCTCTTGCGTTGGCTTGCCCTTTTCTCCTATGGCCATGCGGGGGCCCTTGATCTCATCATCCCTTGGTATGAAGTCCTTTCCTCCACAGTCTGTTTTAAAAATGCATTTACTTTCTGTTTTTGTTCATTCATTCATTCACTCAGTGATTACTTGAGCACCTGTGATGTAGAGTAAGATCATCCTAGACATACTTCACCCGGCCCCAGCACACACTTCTTTCCACATTGTAGTGAAGGAAAGGTTTTGGCTGCTGAAAGCAGCGTGAATCTGTCCATTTTTCTGTTTGCTTTTGAGCCATCTTTGGGGTTGGAAGAGAATTTCCCTAGTCTGAATCCCATGTTTTGTAGACAAAGACACTGAGACTCAGAGCAGGGAGGTGGATTGCCCCTATAACACAGCAAGCTTGAGGTAGAGTGAAGACCTCCATCGTCTGGTGCACTTTCAGCTCTGTAGCTCCACCTCAGAAAGTCCTCTGGGCTGGCCTGTGCCTGGTGACCATTGTTGTTGTGTGTGACCACATACTGTCCACAGTGGGGGCCCCTTCTTCTGTTCTTGTGAAACTTCAAGCCAGGCCACCCTTCTCTGCCTGGGGTGCGCTTTGCATTCTGATGGTCTCTGCTCCTTCCCCAGAGGGAAGGAGAGCTGCTCTGGAGTTCCCAGGGCAGAACCAGGTCCATTCCTACATCCTCCTGCACTCCATTCTCTCCCACGGGCAGAGACCTCGGCTGAGCCTTCCCTCCAGGCCAAGCAGCTGAAGCTGAAGAGAGCCAGACTGGCTGATGACCTCAACGAGAAGATCGCACAGAGGCCTGGCCCCATGGAGCTGGTGGAGAAGAACATCTTGCCTGTGGAGTCCAGCTTGAAAGAAGCCATCATTGGTGAGGAGGCGCCAGCCACCCTGTGTGGACATGCAGGCCAGATGCAGAAGGAAGGGGCCCTGGGCTTCTTGCTCTTTGACTTCCTGCTTAGACTTGGGGAACTGAAGTACATAGTGTGAGAGCCTGATAAACAGGTTGTATTAGCTTGGGAGTGCCACTGGCCTCAGGAGTCAGCGCTGTGCCAAAAGAAATAACTACATAACAGAGAGGCCTCTGTGCACCTTCATCTCTGTGAACGCGGGCTTATTCCTCTCTCACAGGGTGGTCAGGATCGATGTGTGTGAACATGCAGAGATGCTAGGAATTAGGAATCTGTTCTTTTGATTAGTGAAATCTCTTCTTGGAGCCTAGCATCTTTTCCACAGATATTTCACTCAACAAATGTTGATTGATCCAAGTAAATTGTGCTAGGTGCCAGGACCACAGCCCCACAAAGTAGACCAAGCTCCTTGTCCTCATAGAGCTCTTGCCTAGGAGTGGATACAGGCAGGTGAACAGGCAACAACAAGACAGAGGCAAAGCTGTGCCAGAGGGAGTGCGGGCTGCTCTGGGCACGCAGCGGGGGGTCATCCAACCCAGCCCTGAGAGGGATGTAGTGTCAGAGGAGGTGATGGCCAAGACTGGGGCTGCAGGGTGAGTAGGAATTAAAGTGTATGCAGGCGTAGTGGTTAAGTGCGCACGCTCTGCTGCTGGCGGCCCGGGTTCGGATCCTGGGTGCTCACCGAAGCACCGCTTGTCAGGCCATGCCGTGGCAGCGTCCCATATAAAGTGGGGGAAAATAGGCACAGATATTAGCCCAGGGCCAGTCTTCTCCAGCAAAAAGAGGAGGATTAGCATGGATGTTAGCTCAAGGCTGATCTTCCTCACAAAATAAAATAAAATAAAGTGTATGCAGGGGAGAGAGGTGTGTGCTCCAGGCTGGGAGAGCAGTGCAGGGCCAAGAGTAGCGTGGATATGAAGTAGGAAGAGGGGGTGTCAAGATGTGAGGTGAGAGGTGGGCAGAGTCCAGGACGTGCGGGGCCTCATAGGCCATGGTCAAGTGTTCAGATGTTGATGCCCTTAGATTTTGGTAATTGTTGGTACAACATGTCTCCTTTGCTGCAGTGAGCCCAAGAACCAGTCCCAGACAAGGCCATGTGTTCCTGCCCCTGGGAGGTAGCCCTGCCTTCAGGGGAAGGACGCTCAACTGTTCCCAGCTTAATAATGAGTTAGATCTTTGGGCAGAGCACGAGAGAGGAACCACAGGAGCAGACCCCAAAGCATGCCACTTTGAGCCCTGAGCCTGAGCCCTGGGTCCGAGGACATTGTGGTTTCCCAGGCCTCATCTGCACTGTAGATGGTGGCTGGGCAGTGGAGAAGGCGGCCACTGGGCTGGAGGCTGGCACACCCGGGACAGCCCTTTCCCCATTTGGGGCTGTGGCCCTTTTAATTCACACTTTGCCCTGGCATTTGTCCCACCTAATCTCAGTGTTTTCCTATCCAGATCTTCACAGGATTCCAAAACAGCCCCTAGTTACAGGCCAGTGTTTGGGCCAAGGTCAGTTCTGGACTCTCCAGCCAGCCAAAATCTGATAAATGTTTGCCGAGTATCGGCAATGTGCCAGGCCCTCTGTGAAGTCCTGCAGTTAGAAAGACATACAAAATATGACACTGCCCTCAGAGAATTCAGGCTGGTGGGAGAAGACTGATGTAGAAACAAGCGATTTCTGAGTCTGGCCCCTAGTCAGATGCCAGCACCGTGTAGTAGAAAGGCCACGGCCCTGTGACATCGTAGCTGAGTCACCTGGCTTGTGGGACAGTTTGCAGGCCCACAGGCAATAATGGATTCAGCACAGTCCTTGACTCCTGGGAACACGCACGCAAGGGCTGCTGCTGTTAGCAGTAACGTTGGTGACAGGCCAGCTGACAGGTGCTGTAGTGGACAACATAGACTAATGGGTGTGTGGTCAGGTGCAGTGGGAGCTTGGCCGAGGCGGGCTTCTTTCAGGGTTGGGGACGGTGGCAGGGGCCTAGGAAGTACCACAGGCAATATGGCACATTTGGGGTCAGCCTGGAGTTGAATGAGTTAGCCAAGTGGAGAAGGTACAAAAGGACATTCCAGGCAGAGGGGACAGCATGGGCAGTGGCCTGGAGGCCTGGTGTAGCACGGCTTGTTTGGGGACCGTAAGTATTTTAGTTTGCCAATGAGGTCACTGGTGACTTGAGAGAAAGGAGCATTTACCAGTAAAAGCTAGATCATGCAGGTCGAGGAGTGAGTAGGAGGTGAGGAAGTGGTGACAGCAGATGTAGTTCGTCTGTTCAAGAGGTGAATGGAGAAGGTAAAGAGAGGGAGATGGTGGGTTAGGAGGGGTTTTTAGGCTGGGAGAGATGGAGCAGGTTTATGGGCTGAGGAGGGAGTCAGGAGAGGCTGAGGAGATGGGAGGAGAGGAGGAGGAAGAGGAGGGATTTGAACCCAGGCTGAGGTGGAGGAGGGAGAGGAGACGAAGCTGCGTGTGGGCAGCAGACGAGGGAGACAAGACAGTTCTGAGGCCTGCTGAGAAGGGGGGCATGGGAGGGGACTCTTCAGATGGTCTTATCTCCTACAGTCTTCCCCGCACACTCCCCACGGCCACTCACAGCACACACTCATACCCTCTTACACACACACACACACACTCATGCCCTTTCTTCCAGGCCACCCTCAGCTGATCTGTAAGATTCATGTCAAGGCCCTCTCCTCCAGGAGGTCTTCCTTGAGTCTCTCCTCAGCATCCCCTCAGTGTCCACATTTCCCTCTAGCAGAGCATTTACTGTGCTCCAAGGCGACTGGACCATAAGCTCTGGGAGGGCAGGGACCCCATCACTGTACCTCCACTTCCTGCACCTGGCCTATGCCTGGCCACAGGAAAGAGAGAGAGAGAGACTCTGTGGTGACCCTGACCTGCATCAGTCACTGGACTTCTCCAGTATGGTCAGCAGCTTCCTGGGCTACTGTCTCACAGCAGGTCTCCTCGCGGACTGAGAGATGGTGGGAAAAAATCTAGATGTGTGATTGGCTCAGTGAGCTCCGTCCCCTCCGTGCCCTGCAGGCATGCCCCTGCTAGGACAGATGATGAGGAGTGTGTGAGCCGGCCCAGCGAGGGCATTGCTGGCTCCATCACCACAGTCGGTCAGTGGAGGGTCAAGCTCAGATGTGTCCTTTCCAGGTCCCAGGGAGGAGAGAGCCTCAGGTCATGGCCCTGGAGAGGAAGAGTCTGCTGGGAGAGTTACTGGCTTGTCCTTGTTCCTTATCTGTGGTCTTCCCGCCACAGATTTCCCCGTGTGTGGCTGGCAGCTCACCTTTGTGCCGTGACCTCTGCCTCAGTTCCTCCTGTGTGGACGGCAGACTGGTGCACATCCTCTTCCCCTGACAGTGCTGAGGCTGTGGTTGGGACATGAATCTTTTGAAATATCCTACTCGGCCCTGTTCCCGTCTTTCCTTCACTCTGCGTCCTGGGATTTCCATGCTGGGACCCTCCTACCCCTGCTTCTGCCTCCCAGCCTGGCCCCAGCTGGTCCCAGGAGCACACGTGCCCATGGCATCCCGGCCTTGACTGTGGGGCAGGGCAGGGTGGGTATAGCCAACCAGGTGGGGTTTTCTTCTGGTCTCTGGGAGTCACTGGCCGCTAAAGGGAGGTCACCATACTTGCAGTGATCCTGTTTCACCTGTGCAAGTGGGCGTCCCTTTTCCAGGAGGCTCCTTAGCTTGTGCCTGGCCTTTGGGGAGTTCAGGCAGCCCAGGGGAGGAGCTGCACTCTCGAGGCTGTCACCTGTGCTCCCAAGGTCCCTCAGCACAGGCTCAGAGCCTTCATTGCAGGGTCCACAAGCCTCTGGGGGCAGGGGCGAGTTTTGTGCAGCCACAGGATGGAAGTGAAGTGCCTTTAAGAGCAGGGAAACAGATGAGGTGGAGGAGGCAGCGGACTGGAGGGAGGGAGGGTGGAACTCGACTTTGAAGACTGAATGCAGTGTCGAGTTAAAAGCAAGAGGCTACAAGGGGAGCACTTGGACAGCCTAGTAGCGTCCTCCTGGCCTTTGTTTCGGGATTGTGATGATGAGCTCTCCTAGAGCTCTTTTCGACGCAGAAGGCAGGTTGGCTGCTGGGCGCCCTTCTCCTGTCTGCCTCACTGGGCGTGGGGGGCTACGGGGCAGGCGCCTTGCTGGGACGGCCTCTGGCTGGTGAGCAAGGCCACTCTCCCCATTCTCTGGGGCCGGACGAGGAGTCTGATGCTGGCTTTGGCTTTCAGTGGGCCAGGTGAACTACCCGAAAGTAGCAGACAGCTCTTCGTTCGATGAGGACAGCAGCGATGCCTTATCCCCTGAGCAGCCTGCCAGCCATGAGTCCCAGGGCTCCATGCCGTCACCCCTGGAAGCCCGAGTCAGCGAGCCACTGCCCAGTGCCACCTCCGTATCCCCCACTCAGGTGAGCTTACCTGCTCCAGATGCTTCCCCTGTTCCCCAAGGACCCCAGACTTGCTGTAGCTGCCCGAGTGAGGTCTCTCGTGGGGAAGCGGCGGGTATTGCCCTTACTAGGAGCCTCCAGAGCTGGCTGCTTGAGTGTCAGTGGTGGGGAGGGAGATGTCAGCAGCGGGCCCCCATTTTAGCCAGCCTGAGCCAGCCTGTGGTCACATGACTCCGTGGCCTGCCCTGCGTCCACGTGTTTAGAACAGCTCGCTTCTCCTGAGCGTGTTCAGTTCACAGATCTTTTCACCATCCTCGGTCTCTCCCTTTCTAGTGCCTTCTCCCCCTGCCACCCTGGGGGCTGCCCTTCTTGTCCCCCTGACAGTGGTGGCTTCTGAGGAGGTGACTGCTTCCCACCTCCGGACCACTTGGAAGTGGCTGGGCCCTCTGGAGCAGCCAGAAAAGGAGGGTGTCCTCACTTCTCCCCTTCTCTCTCAGGTTGCGTCTCAACTCCCGGTGGGCCCGGATTCTGGAGAAACGCTTCTCCCAGCAGAGCAGCCTCCTCTGCCTCCCTGCCTCACCAACGGGACTGCGGTCCCCACCGCCAAGCCCACCCCCACGCTCATTAAGGTACAGTTCTCCAGCCGACTGCCCTCCTCTCCCTGTGCCCCTTTGAGCCATGCTGTGACTTCATCCCAGTGTGGGGACAACTGCAGGGGGTGGGCGTGCATATCTTCTCCCCCTGGTCGGGGCCCAACAAAGGTCACCGAGGTAATGTGGGAGTTCTTGCTGTTCTCTCCCTGTGACACTGGCTGTCACAGTCATGGCCACCATTTACTAAGCACAGTGTGCCAGGCTCTGGACTGGGCCGTCCAGACTCTTATTCCTGCCCTCCCCGTGGAAAACAGCACCCACACCACCCACCTGGTCCACTGATAGCCTCGTGAGGCAGTAATAGAACCCTGTTCTACAAGCGACAGAGCTGAGAAGTGAAGAGATGGGCCCAAGATCATGCCGCTGGCGACGTCGAGCGTTTGTTTTTATTCTCCTCCTCCAAGGGCTCACCTGAAATGCCTGAAGGAGCGAGGTTTACCATCAACCCCATGAGACACTGTGGGGACCTTTGTGTGGGAAACACTGTGCTGGGCACTGAGGTTAAGTTCAGCAGCACCAAGAGCCCGTGCCTGGCCTCCCTGCCCTGTGGAGCCTCCTGCCTCCAGGGTCTCTGGGACCTTAGCCTTGGGCTGCCACCTCCCCTTGTCTGCACCTGCGCCTCCTGGGCGCAGTCCCTTCCTTCCCGCCTCACTTGCTTCCCTGTCTTGTCCTACTCTCTAGTCCCCGCAGACCTTGCCCCTGGTTGGGAATCTCCTGCCCTCCATGTTCCTCTCCTCCTACTGCTCACAGCCTGGGAGCCGTCGAGGTTCCTGTTCTCTGGGCCTAGCTGAACCCTTGCTGTGCCTCCGGGCTCCCTGATGCCGTCCTTTCTGCCCCCCTGCCCCCAGGCCTGCCCCATTTGCGCCATCTCTGCGAGGCCCTGCTGCTCACAGGAAGTTCCGTGGCTTCCCCCAGTCCCAGAGGAAGCAGCGAGTGCCTCCTCCCAGGGCTGCTGGTGCTCTAGAGCGCTTTGCTGGCTCTGGGGGGCCCCCTCGTCAGCGAGCACCTCTCTTGCCTCTACATTCTACTGGCGGCCACAGATGTCAGAGGTTTTCCCCTAAGGTTCCTCCCTCAGACTGGCTCTTCGTCACATGACAGGTGCCTGCCTTTGACCACCACACATTTAAAGAATAACGTATATACATTTGTCTACACTTCCTCTTTTCTGGATAGTGCCTCAGCCTCTGTGGGCTGGCTCCACAGCTCCGCCAGTGAACTGGAACATCTCTTTCAAGGGTCCCTAATTCCAAACCCAGCCCCCCATCTGCCTTTGACCCCCTCGGGTCGCACTCCTCTCTCCATTCTTGCTTTCCCTCATCTTGGTGGCTGCTTTCCCTCGGCCTCTGTCCTCCTCCCTTTCAGGGGGTGTCCCCCAGGCTGCGCCCTCGGTCTCTGTCCTCCCTCCCCTGCGGCTCCACTGCGCCCTCAGCCTTGCTCTGTGTCCGCTCTGCAGGCCCAGCTCTGTCCACTTTGGTGTTCTGCCGGCTCCAGTCTCAGCAGCTCTGTGCCTTCTCCTCCCTCTTTCCATACTCCTGGGCAGAACCAGAACCTCTTCCTGACTTCCATGAAGGGGCCACCATTGTCACTGTTGCCAAAGCTCAAAACCCTAAACCTCTGAACTACTTACCCGCCACATGCTCCTGTCGTCCATCTTCCTCTAGTTGGTCACCTCTACCCAAAGCTTCCCGTTGGTCCCCACTGCCACCTGGTCGAGACCCCAACTGATCCCTGCATCAAGTCCCCCCCTGCTATCTGCCATTCTCTGCTCAGAAACTTCTAGACTCTCCACCGTCCTTGCCTGGCACACCCCTGCTGACTCTTGCCCTCATCAAACTCCACCCTTTGCTGACCCAAAGACAGGCCTCATGAGTGTGACCCGCTGGCCCTTCCTGGTTGGCCTGGTCCTTGTTGACCCTTGAGACCCAGAGGGAGGCCACCCTGTGTGCCAGCGGGGAGTCTCTGGAGGCCCATTTGGTGACTGAACATGAGCTTTTGGAGTCCTGGGTTTGGATTCCAGCTCCTTCACACAATGCGACGTGTGACCTTGGGCAAGTAGCTTCTCTGAACCTGTTTCCTCCTTTTCAAGTGGACATGCTAGGTCCTGGCGAGGCAGTGTTCTCGCAGGTCTGCGTGACATGCCTTTTTACAGTATTGGCGTGGACGGCACAAGCTCCATAAACTAGCAGTTTTCTGTTCACTCTTTGCTTGAGGTCGCGGTGACGTCTGCGTTTGGTTGATTTTCCCTCTGGGCTAGAAGCTATTCTAAGAGAGGGGCCGTGCACAGCCCCCTCTGTCAGGCCTTGCTCCCTCCCTGGTACACGTCTGGGCACTCATGTGGCCTCTGCTTGTGGAGGGGGTACCGTCGAGCAGGGCAGAGTAGAGCAGGGGAGGGTGGATGACGGTGCCTTCTCAGAAGCCACTCAGCGCAGTGGGAGGGCTGCTAGCCTCCTGCCTGGGGGCCTCACTCTGAGAAGCCTGAGATGCCCCCTGATGGCGCCCTCTGCCCCCTGTGCCCTCAGCAAAGCCAACCCAAGGCTGCTAGTGAGAAGTCACAGCGCAGCAAGAAAGCCAAGGAGCTGAAGCCAAAGGTGAAGAAGCTCAAGTATCACCAGTACATCCCCCCGGACCAAAAGCAGGACAAGGGGGCGCCCCCCATGGACTCCTCCTACGCCAAGATTCTGCAGCAGCAGCAGCTCTTCCTGCAGCTCCAGATCCTCAACCAGCAGCAGCAGCAGCACTATAACTACCAGACCATCCTGCCTGCCCCGCCAAAGTAGGAGCCCGCCTCAGCACCGCCCCCCTGTCCCACCTGTAGGCACCCCGAGACAGGCAGATACCAGGTCTGGTGTGGGTGAACCCCAGATCTTCAAGGCCTCTGTGGTCTGGATCCTGCAAGAGTGGTCCCCAGGTGGGGCCTGCGGGCAGGGCCCTCACCCCATGCCCCACACCTGTCTCTACCCAGCCCTCTGGAGGCCGAGGGTGACACTTGGCGGGTGCTCATTTCTGCCTTTTCTTCTTCTTAGGCCGGCAGGTGAGGCTCTGGGAAGCAGTGGGGCCCCCCCAGTGCGCAGCCTCTCCACTACCAACAGCAGCTCCAGCTCGGGCGCCCCAGGGCCCAGTGGACTGGCACGTCAGAACAGCACCTCACTGGCTGGCAAGCCGGGTGTCCTGCCTGCCAACCTGGACGACATGAAGGTACGTGGTTGCCCTCTTACCATTGGAGGACTTCAGCCACTGCCAGCCTGGCCTCCCACGAGGGCTGCTGGGTGCTCGTTTTAGGGCAAGCACCAGCCAGGACCCTCGGCTCTGGAAGGCAGAGCAGTAGACTCTGGTCTCATTCAGCAGAGGCACCTGGAACCTGCTCCAAGGCCTGCCTCACCTTGGTCAGACGTGACATTAGCCTTGTCATCATGGTCATTACCATTAATGACGACAGCCAGTATCTGTCCAGGGCCTTGGGGCTTACCAAGCCCTCGTATACCTCTCATCTTCCTCGGCCTCTATGGGATAGTATGAGAAACAGGGAGCGTTACTCCCGCTTAAGGGTGAGCAAGCAGAGGCTTGCCTGAGGTCACACATCTGGCCAGTGGTGGAGCCCGGATTCAAACTCAGGCTGTCTACTTCACAACCCCACCTTTTCCACTTTGCGAGTTAACTCGCCGCCAGATCTGCTGTACAAGTGCTGTGTCTGCAGGGGAGGAGGGTGGGTCATGCCCGGGCCTGGCCTGTTTTCTGCCCCGATCAGAAGGTAGAATGGGCCAAATTCTCCCTGAAGAGCTTGTCCTGTGAACCAGGCTGGCCCCTCCTGAGTCATGGCCCTGTCACAGCAAGACATGGTCCTTGTGGGGCGGCTGGGCACAGGCTTCACAGTCCAGCAGACCTGGATTTAACTGCTAACTCTGCCGCTCACTAGCAGTGTGATTTTGAAGAAGTTACTTTACTCTTGTGAGCTCAGTTTCCTCATCTGCACAATCCAGTCAGTCCAACGAAGTATTTATTGAGTACCAGGCACCATGCTGGGGCTTGGGACAGCTGAGGGCATGTTGTTCCCAGACACGGGGGTCAGGAGCGTTTTAATCAGGCCCTGGTGTGGTGAGGATGGGGACAGGGAGGAGGCTGGGCCCTGGGGACATGCACCTCCCCCTCCAGGGCTGTGGGAAGGTTGGGGGGTTGATGTCTCTGAAGTGGCCAGTGGGCCCGGACAGAAGAGGCCTAACAAACAAAAAGCTCGTCCCTCCCATCCTTCCCCAACTGCCCTCCTGCCTGGACCCAGTCCCCTCTGTCTGTCCCCCTGCTGCCCTGACTCTCAACCCCCCTGCAGGTAGCAGAGCTGAAGCAGGAGCTGAAGTTGCGCTCGCTGCCCGTCTCGGGCACCAAGACAGACCTGATTGAGCGCCTGCGGGCCTACCAAGAACAAGCCAGCCCTGCCCCGGGAGCCCCTAAAGCCCCTGCTGCTCCCTCCATCCTGCCCAAGGCTGGAGAGGTGGTGGTAGCCTTCCCAGCCACCCGGCTAAGCACGGGGCCTGCCCTGGTGGCAGCAGGCCTGGCCCCAGCCGAGGTGGTGGTGGCCACGGTGACCAGCAACGGAGTGGTGAAGTTCGGCAGCACGGGCTCCACACCCCCCGTGTCTCCCACCCCCTCAGAGCGTTCACTGCTCAGCACGGGCGACGAGAACTCCACGCCCGGGGACACCTTTGGTGAGATGGTGACATCACCACTGACCCAGCTCACCCTGCAGGCCTCGCCACTGCAGATCCTTGTAAAGGAGGAGGCCCCCCGGGCTGGGTCCTGCTGCCTAAGCCCGGGGGTGCGGGCAGAGCTGGAGGGCCGTGACAAGGACCAGATGCTGCAGGAAAAGGACAAGCAGATCGAGGAGCTGACCCGCATGCTCCGGCAGAAGCAGCAGCTGGTGGAGTGGCTCAAGCTGCAGCTGGAGCAGGAGAAGCGGGCCCAGCAGCCGGCCCCGGCCCCGGCCACTCTGGGCCCCCCCGTGAAGCAGGAGAACAGCTTCTCCAGCTGCCAGCTGAGCCGGCAGCCCTCGGGCCCTGCTCACCCCTTCAGCCCCAGCCTGGCAGCCCCCACTGCCCCCCATGCAGACACTTGTGACGTAGTGCCCCCGGCCGTGGTGGTGAAGCAGGAAGCTGTGCTCCCTGAGCCTGAGCCGGCCCCCACCCCCCAGCTGCTTCTGGGCCCACAGGGCCCCAGCCTCATCAAGGGGGTCACACCTCCCACCCTCATCACTGACTCCACAGGGACCCACCTTGTCCTCACCGTGACCAATAAGAATGCAGACAGCCCTGGCCTGGCCAGTGGGAGTCCCCAGCAGGTACCTGGGTGTGGGAGGGACAGGGGCCACAGGAGGGTGGGAAGATACTTATAATGACAGCCCCATTTACCAGGTGCCCCCATGGCTGGGCAGGCTATGCTTGCTTCCTTTAATCTTCCCTTCGACTCTCCAAAATGAGAGATCGCCATCTTCATGTCACCAAGGAGGGTACTGAGACTTGGGAAGGTTAAGGGGCCTGCCCAAGAGCCCACAGCCATGAGGGTGGGGCCGTCAGGGACTGCCCACCTCTCTGGCCGTTGACATCAGAACATTTCTGTACCTGGGCAGAGGGCTCCTGAACAGCCCCCACCCAGGCTGGGGCCCGTTCCTGCCTCTGCTCCGTGGAGGTGGGCCGGGGCCCCTGGTGAGAATCAGGGAAACTCCTGCCTGGGAGAGGCTGTGGGCTTGGCTCTCTGGCCCAGGGTTCACCTGGGGGCCACCAGGCTGAGCCTGGTTCTAGCTCCACTCCTCTCCCTCCTCTCAGAGAGGCCAGCTGTCCCCCACCAAGGTGTCATTGGCAGCTGGCTCCCTGCTGCTGCCACTCTCACAGCCCAGACCCTCCACCCAGCCTGGTCCAAAGGTGAGGCTGCTTTTGGCTTTGTGTGGCCTCTCGGCCTTGCGAATCTTGGGGGTGGAGGGGACAGTGACAGTAACCATGCACCTTAGGAAGGGAGACGGGCCCCTGGGCAGCCTCAGGCAGAAAGGGAAGAGAGGGAGAATCAGCCCAGAGCGCCTCCCTCTCGTGAGACTTGTACCAAACCCCAGGCAGCCAGTTGCTCCGTGCCTGCCCCTCTCTCTGTAGGGTCAGAGGTCAGGGCCTCTCCCATTCCGTATCCCTAACTCCAGTGGTTTCCATGAAAGCTTCCAAAAGCCAGTGTGGCTAGCAAAGCTGTCCTGGCCCAGAAGGTCAGCGCCTCCTGCCTTGCCCTCCTGGGGTGTACAGGGCCGTGGGCCCACTCCCTCACCCCGACGCTGGTTCTCTCACCATTTTCCTGTCCAGCCCTTGTCCCAGCCTGGTTCTCCAGCCCCTGGCCCGCCAGCCCAGATGGACCTGGAACACCCGCCACAGCCCCTCTTTGGGACCCCCACTTCTCTGCTGAAGAAGGAGCCGCCTGGCTATGAGGAAGCCGTGAGCCAGCAGCCCAGACAGCAGGTGAAGAAGGTAGACTGGAGCCTGGCCAAGGTGGGGGCTGCCTAGGTTGCTGGGCTGGGCTCCCACAGGCCCCCAGAGCCCCGCTGGAGGGTGGGGGCAGGCGCGAGTCAGTCTCATAGGGTAAAGAGGCCTTAGGGGGTGGGTCATTAGAGGTTAGGTGTGCCAGGGCCTGGCCCAATGGAGTGAGTGTGGCCCTGGGAGCCTCAGCATGGGCCGGTGGGTTCTGCAGGTCTGGCTGCCAGCTCAAGGGCAGAAGGAAGGGCCTGTGCCCTGAGCCAGGCTGGGGGCCTCCTGTTCTAGATTTTCATCTTCTTTTCCTGTTTTTTTCCTACAGGAGAATGGTTCCTCTAGCCAGCAGATGGATGACTTGTTTGACATTCTTATTCAGAGTGGAGGTAAAGCCCAGACCCCCAAGCTGCCTACCCAACCTCCTTCTTTCTTCATAGGTTGTCTCCAGTCCTAGGTTGGTTGATTTATTGGGTTGTTTTTGGGGGCGGGGGGGGGATTTTTTTTTTTCAATTTTTCCTGTTTGTTTTGTTTTGTTTTTTGTGCTGAGGAAGATTCGCCCTGAGCTAACATCTGCTACCAATCTTCCTCTTTTAGTGCTTTAGGAAGATTAGCCCTCAGCTAACATCTGTGCCAATCTTCCTCTATTTATTGTATGAGGGACGCCGCCACAGCATGGCTAACAAGTAGTGTAGGTCCATGCCCGGGATCTGAACCTGCCCACCTGGGCTGCTGAAGGGGCTGGAGCATGCTGAACTTAACCACTACACCACCGGGCCGGCTCCTGACTTATTGGTTTTTGTTTAGTTATTGAACACTTCATGGGTGACAGACCTTGTACATTGCATGTAGCAGCGGCTGAGATGCATACTGTCTCCAGGACCTGGGCGAGAACACCCGTGGGGGCTGCAGCCCTCAACAAACGGTTGCTTTACCCAGGATGCACAGTGTGGGGTGCTTTCCCCACAGCCTGGATGGAGCAGTGAGCAAGACAGAGACATTTGCCTTTGCGGGGCTCACAGTCTAGTGAGGGAGATGAATGATAAATAAAATAGGTAAATAGAGAAGAGTCAGTGTTATGAAAAGCAGGGAAGAGAAGGGTCTCAGGTGAATGGGGGTGGTCAGAGTCGGTCTCGTTGAGCAGGCGTGGTGTTAGCCACAGGCACCTCTGGGGGAGCACCCGAGTAGCCTGGTGAGGGCCAGGTGTCTTGGAGGAGTGGAATGAGTGCGGGAAGGGAGCAGGAGGGGAAGGAGTCACAGGCTGGGGCAGACCCCGAGGCCTCGTGCCTGCAGGGCGGAGGGACCCTGACTCGGGGTGATGTGGAAGCCGTCACACAGCATTGAGTGGAGGATCGGCCAGCTGGAAGGGCGGGAGCAGAGACTCAACTGTAGTGATCCAGGCGAGGGGCCAGGTGCGCTGGCCTGGGAGGGAGCAGGGATGTGGAGAAGGGCTGGAGCTGGGTATATTTTGGAGGGAGAACCCGTTTGATTTACTTACAGATCAGGCATGTGGTGAAAGGAGAAGAGGGCAGCCAAATGACGCCGAGGGTTTCAGCCTGACTTACCAGGACGCAGCGGCATGATTGCCTGGGGAGCTCTGGTGGGGCACGTGAGGGACACATTGGGGCAGCCTCCGTCAGGCTTAGATATGTACCAGGACAGCCCAGGCGAGGTCAGGGCTGAAGGCAGGAATTAGGGAGTTGCTGGCGTCTAGATTGGCATTCAGAGCCATGAGGTTGGGTGAGCAGAGGAGGACGAGGTGGAGGCCGGGGGCTCGAGCAGATACGGCTGAGCAGAGGGTGGAAGAGTGAAGTCCTGAAGCCCAGGGCTGCCGGTGGGTGGTCAGGGAAGATGGGGACTTAGCATTGTGGTGGCCATGGGTGACCCAGCCAGGGTGCTGCGGCAGGACTGTGGGCCTGTGCCTGCTTGAAGCGGGTTGAAGAAAGGCCGGGTAGGGGTGGGGTATAGCAAGTCTGGACAGCTCTCTGCAGAGGGTTTCCTGCAAAGGGGAGCAAAGAGCAGCATGTAATGTGGGGCCTGGTAGGTGGGGGGGGGGGGAATCCCTGAGCGTGGGGAGGGCGCAGGGCAGGGAGGGCTCGGCTTCAGGGGGGACAGCGGGCAGGAAGGCAGAGTGTATGGAAGTTCTCTTCCGAGGGCTTTAATCGTGTCAGTAGGGAGACGGTTAAGTGAGACGGTACAGGTAAAGTGAGAGCTCAGCCGTGGAATTGTGCACTTTCAAATGGTGAATTTTACCTCAAAAAAAAAAAAAGAGTTCAATAGCAGATGTTACTCTTGAGGTTACCGATTTTGATCTTAGGGAGACTTCTCGGATTCCAGGGTCTGCGGTGGGGCTTCAGGTGCATTTCTAACAAGTGCAGGCGGACTGAGGCTGCTGGGCTGGGAGTGCTCAGGGGCAGGTGGAGAGACTGGTCTGGAGCTCGGGAGAGAGGCCTGGGCGTGAGCTTCAGGAGTTCCCAGTGTCCAGACAGGAGCTGAAACTGGGAGAGGTGACGCTACCTGGCAAGAGAGAGACGGTATGAGAAGCAGAGAGGGAGCAGGCCTCAGGCTCTAGCATTGAAGAGATGGCAGGGAAGGGGAGCTGGGGGGTGCTGCCTGCCCCCAAAAGGACACTGAGAAGTGGCCAGAGCGGTGGCAGGGATGCCAGGAGAAGAGGGCATGTGAACAGGGCGAGTGGGGCCAGCAGTGTCCCCGGTGGTGACAGTTGGGCAGGATGACAGGCCGTGACTTGGAGGGAGCTGGTCGTCTGGTGAGAGCAGCGTGTTCAGCTGGGACAGGAGGAGAGCAGGAGGGAGGACAGGACTTAAAGGGTCAGGAAGCAAGCCTGGCTTCTGCATAGTGTTTTTTATTGTGGTAAAATATACATAAAATTTTCCATTCTAACCATTTTTAAGTGTACAATTCAGTGGTATTAAGTACATTCACAGTGGTGTGCAACCGTCAACTACCCACTTCAACTTTTTCATCATCTTATACTGACACTCATTACCCATTACACACTAACTCCCCATTCCTCCCTCCCCCTAGTGCCTGGTAACCTCTCTTCTGCTTTCTGTCTCTATGAATTTGAGTGTTCTAGGTGCCTCATATAAGTGCAATCATACAGTCTTTGTTTGCCCTTTTGTTTCTGACTTATTTCACTTAACACAGTGCCCTCAAGGTTCATCCATTTTGTAGCATGTGTCAGAATTTCCTTCCTTTTTATGGCTGAATAGTATTCCATTGTATGGATATAGAACATTGATCCATTCATCCACTGATGGACACTTGGCTTGTTCCCACCTTTTGGCTGTTGTGAGTAATGCTGTATGCACACTGGTGTACAAGCATCTGTTTGAGTCTCTGCTTTCACTTCTTTTGGGTGTATACCCAGAAGTGGAATTAATGGATCATATGGTAATTTTATGTTTACCTTTTTGAGGAACCACAAAACTCTTTTCCACAGTAGCTGCTCCATTTTCATTCGTACCAGCAATGCACAAGGGTTCCAATTTCTCCACATCCTCACCAACACTTGTTATTTTCAAATTTTTTTATGATAGCCATCCTAGTGGGTGTGAAGTGGTATCTCACTGTGGTTTTGATTTACATTTCCCTGATCACTAATGACGTGGAGCATTTTTTCATGTGCTTATAGGCCATTTGTATATCCTCTAACGGAGAAATGTCTATTTTTGTCCTTTGCCTATTTTTCAGTTGGGTTTTGTTGTTGAGTTGTAGTTCTTTATTCTGGATATGAATCACTTATCAGATATATGATTTGCAAATATTTTCTCCCATTCTGTGGGTGGTCTTTTTCACTCCTTTGATAGTGTCCTTTGATGCACCAAACTTGTAAATTTTTATGTAGTCCCATTTATTTTTTCTTTTGTTGCCTGTGTTTTTGGTGTCATAACCACGAATCATTACCAAATCCAATGTCATAAAGATATACTCGTTTTCTTCTTTGAGTTCTGTAGTTTTAGCTCCTAAATTTAGATCTTTGGCCCATTTTGAGTTAATATTTGTACAGGGTGTAAGGTAGGGTCCAACTTCAGGTCCTTTTCAGGCCTGGTTTCTGATATCTGTTCATTTTCTTGATTGGCAGAGATTTCAGCAGATTTTAAGGAGCCACCATCCCTGCCAGGGAAAGAGAAGTCCCCCTCGACAGCAGCCTGCGGGTCACCCCTAGCCACACAGTCTCCACCCTCTGTCGAGCTCCCCCAGGCTGCCCCACCTCCATCAGCCTCACCTGCCCTCCCTGGGCGCCTGGAGGACTTCCTGGAAAGCAGCACGGGGCTGCCCCTGCTGACCAGTGGGCATGAGGGGCCAGAGTCCCTCTCTCTCATTGATGACCTCCACAGCCAGATGCTGAGCAGCTCTGCCATCCTGGACCACCCCCCATCACCCATGGACACCTCGGAATTGCACTTTGCCCCTGAGCCCAGCAGCGTGGGCCTGGACCTGGCTGACGGCCACCTGGACAGCATGGACTGGTTGGAGCTGTCGTCAGGTGGTCCTGTGCTCAGCCTGGCTCCGCTCAGCACCACAGCCCCCAGCCTCTTCTCCACGGACTTCCTTGATGGCCACGACCTGCAGCTACACTGGGATTCCTGCTTGTAGCTCTCAGGCTGCAGAGCCGGGGATGGGCGGGGCTGGGAAGTTGGGGAGCTTCAGGAACTCGAGGGATCTCGGCTCTCCTGCCTGCCCTAGCCTCTGTGCATGGTCGTGAGTCCTGACAATCACGGGCCTTACCTTCCTCTGCCTGGGAGGGCGTCCCTACACCTGGCTCAGGCTCACGGAGGAGAGGCGTTGCCAAGCAGCAGCTCTGGGCCATCCCGGGGTTTTGGAGGCCTGGAGAGGCCAGGGGCATTCTACTTGACCTCCTTTTGTGAGGTCAGAGGTGCAGTGTCTGGCTGCAGTTTGCTCAGGCGGGTGAGGTCCAGGGCTGAGGCGAGGAGGCAAATCTCCTTCCTTCCCCCTTCCCTGTGAGGGAAGAAACTAGCTGGGCCTCCACCTCCCCATTCCCCATTATGCTAACCCCAGGGTCCCTGGCTTCCTGCCATTTTACTGTCTTGAGTAGTGTAACCCTTTAGTGGTTGGTGGAGATGTTTTCTGTACAGGTGTATATACTTCTATATTATATATCGCCATACATATATACGTATATTTTTGGGGGTGGGAAGTGGACGTGGCTCCCTCCCATCCTACTGTGCACGTATAGAAGGGCCTGGAGACCACCGTTCCTGGGGCCAGCTGCCGCTTACCCTGGCCCCACCCATCACGTGTGTTTGACATGTAGACACCCCATCACAGCCTGTGCCACCTGTCCTGCTTCTTATCAGTGCCACGAGGGCAGAGGTGCTTCCTGGCCCCCTGCCCACATTCCGTCCCACTGCCTCACTACAGCCACCAAGGCCCTGGGGCAGCAGGGATGTTGGCTCTCTGGTGGGATGGAGGTGGCCCTCAAGCTTTGGCCTCCTCCTGCCCTGGGCCTGGCCTGCCTTCTGGCCTGTCACTGTCATTCATAGAGGATTAGGGATGGAGTCACCAAAACCAACCAGTGCTGGCAGAGAGGTGGGGAAGCTGTGTGAACTTTTTAAAATAAAAACAAAAACAAACACTGACTTATTAGTCCAGCTTGTTGAATCCACTGAAGAGGTGGGTGGTAAAGCAGGCATCGGAGGCATTCTAGCACGTAGGGGTCACACCCTGACGCTGACCCCCACCTCCCCTGGCTGTGCGCTCCAGACCATTCCAGGAATTGCAGAACCTTGGCTGTACAGTTCTACAGCCCTGACTGGACAGAAAACAGGAGGTGCTTTCTCAAAGATACGATTTATTTACAGACCAAAGAGGCCAAGGAGCCTTTAGCCACCCCCATCCCCTTCCTGAGCAAAAACTAACAGAAGAGAGGTGGCTCCCACCTCACGAGATTTTTGGTCAGTACAACCAGTGACATTGGGGCCCGGGGCCTCCGTGAAGACCCTGGCAGGGCAGAGTCCTCCCCCAGGTGCTGGGAGAACAGGCTAGGCTGGACCCTCCAGCAACGCTCTGGGCGCCCAGGGTGGTGTCCCTGATCTCCCAACCATGGCACCGGGCCAGAGCACCAGAGTGTCTCCTTCACTTGACCCCACAGCTTGGGGTGGGCCTGGGCCACCCCATCCCAAGACTGGCCAGGGCCGTGCTGTTGTCTCCTTGCCTGAGGAAGGGGCTGCTCTGGAGCCGACGGGTTGGGGGAAGCCTGGGCGTGACAGGGCCGCTGGAGGAAGAGCGTCACCCATCTATGTCCCAGCTGAAAAGGTGGTGCTTCACCAGCATGTCCTGAACACCCTCCTTCAGGGGCTGCTTCTCCTCCTGCACACAGGACAGGCCCTCACTGTCACAGGCCACAGGGCAGGGGTGCTGGAGCACAAAGCAAGGAAGCCAAAGGTGGCAGGGGCAGAATGGTTCTGCAGGCGAGGCCAGCATGCAGGGTCTCCATGGGACCCTGCCTCAGCCACCCAGGAAGTGTTTGGGGGTGATCTGCCAGCACAGACAGCTGGCCTACCCAACCCAGCCCCCTGTGGGGGAGGCAGGCTGTAGGGCCAAGGACCACCCCCAATCACCCACCTCTCTCTTCGCAGGAAGTTCCCAGTCCTGGGAGAGGCTGAAGGCGAAGCAACAGAGGACGCTGGAGGGGAGGGGAGTAGGCCGTCAGTCACCCTCAGGAGGCTCTGCCTGCCCCTGCCCCAACCCCAGCCACTGGGTCAGGGCTCCAGAAGCCCAGCACCGGTGACAGGGTCCTCACCGGAGCTCACACTTGATCTGGACCCAGCCGGGGCTGCGCAGGAAGGACCAGGGCTGGTACCACTTCTCCACGGTCGGCAGGCTGGAGCAGAGCACCTCCAGCCACAGGTGCAGGACCTGCTCGCTGGGGACAGGTGGGGAAGAGTGGGCTGTCCGCAGGATCGTCTGGGGACCATGGACGGGCTCTGCCCCCCCCATGCTGGACTGGGCGCCCCAACTCTGGGGCTCCTCCAGCCCCACCCTCAGCCCCTTTTCCTCCACTTTGTGGCCTCCCCAGGTGACCCCACCTCCTTCACTCTCAGCCAGCTCTTGCAGAGTAGCCTCGCTCTGCTCCTCCACACTGGGAGCCACGCTCAGGGGCCCACTGTCCCCTGGCCCCCACTCCCCAGTCCTGTCACAGCTCTTTCCTCTGCAAAGAGCTCTCGCCCCTCTGCAAACCACTCTGCCAGGTGGCAAATCCAGAAACATCACATTCACCCTGGCCCAGATCTGAGCCTCACAAATGCCCAAGTTCCCCTCAGGCAGGCGCCCCTCCCTCAGCTGCTGTGGAGCCTCATTTCTGGTGAGCCCCTTCAGCGGTCATCTTGCTAAAATCTGTGCTTCAGGAGACCCCGAGAGCCCTCCCCTGGCCACAGAGCAATGGCTGGTCCTGCACCGGAGGAAGTCCTTTGAGAGTCACCCTTGCTGCCTTCTCTATCCAGCTCACAGGCACCCCACTCTCCCCCAGGGCCACAGCCTAGGCTGCCACTTGTCCGACTGTGGACTGTCACGGGCCCACAGCAGGCACAGACACTCACTTGAGCCCCACGCAGATGAGGGAGCGGAGCTTGACATCCATTTGTGCGTGCGCAGCGTCATGGGTCACATTCACAGACTGCACAGCCTGGGAGGGCACAGCTGTCACTCAGGTACCCCCGGCTGCCAACCCAGGAGGCCTGCCCCACCCACTGCCCCGCTTACCCGGTAAAGCAGCTCCTCTGGGGTCAGGACTTTGCCATCTTCATCCAACCTGAGGGGAGACCAGAGCTGACAGCGCTGCCCTGGTGTGCCAGGCCTGGCCGCTCCCTCTCCCACACTGGGGCTGCCAGGAGACCCTGCCAGGAGGACGCTGGACGGCGGGGCTGGGACCTGGTTACCTGTACGTCTTACACAGCACCAGGCGTGAGTACACCGAGTCAAAGTCTCTCTCAACCTCCCGGCCGGCTGCCTGGGGGGCAAAGGTGAGTGTCAAGGACAATGGGGTAGGTACCAGGTCAAAGCCACAGGGTCCAACTGAGTGCACATCACCACCCCATGAGCTCCTGTACCAGCTCCAGAGGACCACGGGGGACATGAGTCCAGCCACTGACTCACCTCCTCGATAAACAACCAGGGGTGGCAGGCGCCCCCAAGCAGGGACGGCTTCTTCAGTCCATGTTCAAACAGGGCCTTGAGGGCCGGGCAGAGGGTCCCTCGAACGAGGTCTGTGACCCCCTCCGTCACGGTGTCGTCCCCAGCGATGGAGTACTGATAGTGGGGGAGGGGGTATGAGAGGCCCCAGCCCCACACCTGCAGCCAGCCACCCTCTCCCCATCCTCCTAGTCACTGCCGCAGCCAGCATGCTTGGGACCCAGGCCCTGGCTAGGAGCGGGCAGGCCTCACAGGGGTCTAGGTGGCAGCGGCAACCAGGGACCACCCTGCCTTGTGCACCCTCTTACCTCTTTGCTCCGTTCATCCAGGACTTCCACAAACTTGGCTGGAAACCAGCCTGTGGGAGAAGGAGGGCCCTGTGAGAAGTGGACATCCCGGTGTCCTGACACTTCCCCAAAGGGGCTAAGGACACGCTGTGTGAGGGCAGGCTCTCTGAGCAAGCCCCATTCCTGCTGAGGCCAGAGGGCAAGGGGACGGGTGCAGTAAAGGGCGTTGGGCTTCACTGCCGAGCCCCCCTTCCCCTCCCCCAGCTCGAGACTAGAGGGAGGCCTCACCTCTCAGGCCATTCAGCTCCCCCACCCAGCAGTGCTCATCCTTCTGAGAAATGATCTGCACAGGGAACAAGAGCAGGAAGCAAAGCTTTGGTGGTCCAGGCCCAGTGCCTCACACACCATCCTTTCATCCCCAGCCAGGCCAACGGGAGCTCTCGGCAGGGAAAAGGCTTGGGTGGGGTGGGGTAACCCGCCCACAGCCACAAGGCCAGCAGGTGGCAGGGCAAACAGCACCCGCTCTCAGCTCCCAGGCTCCCCTGCCGCTGAGTGCCCGCATCCTGGGCCCGAGCGGTGGTGCTGCGGGACCCTGAGCCTCACTCCACGCACCGTGATGATGTCATTCTTGCGGAAGCCCAGCTCGTCGTCGTCGTGTCGCTCGAAGTCCAGCAGGGCCTTAGCCCGGCGCCGGTGCCTGCGTGAGCACGCCACATAGTTCTCGTGGTCTCGCTGGTGGCTCTCCATGCTGTAGTCTGGGGTCAGCTCCTGCCAGTGGCACAAAGGCCCACCGAAGGGAAGGCACCTCAGCCCAGGACTGGGGAAGGAGAGCCCCCAAACCGAGCCATTGCGCACAGGCCTGGGAGCCCGTGACTCACCACACTACAGTTTTTGGGGTCTGTGCACTGGAAATGGCGTGCCACGCGCAGGATGGCTTCCCGGAGGTCGGCTACCAGTTCCGTCTGCTTGATGTTCTTGGCCTTGAGTGCCTCCAGGTCGTCCTCCCCTGGGAGGCCCAGAGTGTTATGGCAGCCATGGCCCCTGTCCACCCCTTTCCCAACTCTGAGGAAGCTCCGAGTCCACACCAGGTATGAGGACGGACACGCACTGGTCTGCACCCCCCATGCTGCACCCGGCCGTGGTGGTGAGAGCAGTGAGCCTGGACTCGGCGGGTGGGGAA